ATATCTTGGTTCCCACCTGCAACCTGTTGTCGGATAATGATCTTTTTCAAAACAAACACTTAGATATACTTAGCGTGGTATCAAAATAATGATTTAATACTTAATTTGAATTTAGAACATTGGAGGTGTTTACCGATTTTATTTATAGGCTAACTATTGAGTGTCACTATAAAGAATTATCCATCAAAATAATTATTTAGAACATTGACCAGGGGTGTTTACTGTATTTTTTAATGAGCATAAATGTTAACAGGCAAGCTATTATTTGCGATTTCCTGCATATAATAATGTCTTGAAGACTAAAGAATTAGCATTCATATTGTAATTTAATACTTTTTAGTGAACTTTAAAAGCATGTTTTACTAAAAAAATATTCTTCATAGATACATATGACTACACATAAGAATTTATACATTATATATTGTTTATTATAGTAATAATATACTATACTAGCTGACCCGGCAAACGTTTGTTTTGCCATGTAAATTATTTCAAGGAAACATTTTTTTAGTTCAATAAAATTAACTATCTACAGTAATAAAAAAGGGGTTGCTCGTAGAGGGGTGAAAATTAGGGGTTGTATGTATTTTTGTATTCTGTATCTTAAAAAAATAAAAAGAAATGTTTTTTTCGAAAAAAAAAATGTAGGGTCACCCCTTATCACTTAGGGGTTAGAAATAGTAGCCGATTCTCAGACTTACTGAATATACATAAAAAATTTCATAAGAACCGGTCGAGCCGTTTCGGAGAAGTATGGGAACGAACATTGAGTCCCGAGAATTTTATATATAGAGACTATACCTCTGTATAATATATTCAATGAGGCGAACGTAAACAGAAGCAACGTTTGTATAAGGAAATCTCATTTAACTAAAGTACGCAAGTGTAAAATAAAAAGCGGAATCTAAAGTAAAAAGTAAAGAATCCAAAGCCTCCAACGACAAGATTGCTTACATTTTCGATTATGCCTCGTTACGGAACAAAACCGATTTAACTGTTTTATATACAGTTTTTTGTTAGACATTAATAACGCGTTGCTAAACTAAACCTTTTTATGGCTTTTTAACTATTTGGGTTAATGGTAAACTGATTTAAAGGAGGATTTTATTATAATTTATCAAAAGATCGATATATTTTATAAGTTTTTTTTTGGATAAACAGACATTTCAAGCACAAACTAGATAAACCATCCTAGTTTCGTTAAATAATCTTAAACATCAAATTCTCTGAATATGGTCAAAAGGAACAACCAGATTCTTCCTTACGGACGGTTTGTCGAATTGTCAATTTCCAACGCATTACTGCGTAACCAAGCAGATTTGCTTGGTCCTCTCTCTCTACGCAGAGACATTGCGTCTCTTTGCGTTTGCTACAAAGTGTACTATGGTGAGTGTTCTGAAGAATTGTTCTCGAAGTCTCGAGTGTTCTAGAATCGACTCCTGGTGGGGTCTTCCCTGAGAGGTACAACCTCCAACTATTCAAACTTAGAGTGTACTCCTCCCTCGTAGGCCGGCAACGGCAACTAAAAATGGGTGTCTATGGGCTGATTGCCCTTTATGGGTGTCCCGTAAGCTCTTTTTTTATATAATAAGGGCTCTTATTATATATAGAAAAACATCAATACTATATGTAATGACTATGTTTTATGTCTGTGTTTAAATTTGTATTACGTTTTTGCATATTATGAGGTATCGACTATTATTCTACTAGCTCCCTACTTTTATTAACTACTAGCTCCAGAAATACCAAAAATCTATTAATTATTTATTTATAAAAGCTTGCCAACGTTCGGCACTCTGATACATTGGTATAATTAAAATAGAATACAATATTTAATGTCATAAGCATTTATTGGCAAACATAAACACGAAGAGATAAAACATAAAAAAGGTAAAGGGAAATTAATTTCAAAGTGTGAGGGAAGCAACTATGGATATCCAGTTATTCGCTTATTATTATTAAGACTGAACTACAAGCCTACACGAGCAGTGTTGGCCTAGGGCCTTCAGCGTGCGACTGTCATACCTAAGGTCATAGGTTCGATCCCGGGCTGTGCACCAATGGACTTTCTTTCTATGTGCGCATTTAACATTTGCTCGAACGGTGAAGGATAACATCGTGAGGAAACCGTCTTAGACCCAAACAGTCAACGGCGTGTTGACACTGGAGGCTGATCACCTACTTGATTTAAAAATGATCATGAAACAGATTCAGAAATCTGGACCAAGACCTAAAGAGGTTGTAGCGCCACTGATTAATTTTTATGCCTACATGGACAGAATTTGAATATTTTCTGGACAGATGTGATCAAAAAGCATATTCTACGAAACGTTTGTCAGCAATTTTCATGTATATTTTTTATTACCCGATTAAGACGTTTTCCGTTGGCTTTTAACCGGACGACCATTCAAAGCCTTTTCTATGGAGGCATCACCGATTACGAAGTCAACAAATTGTGAAGCACTTTTTTGTTATTTCGACGTGCTAACAATGAACAGAGGCGCGCAACTGATCATTACCATTATGCTATAAAAGGCTTTGTGTTTTGGGTAAATTATAACAGGTAGGCTTTGTGTTTTACTCGAGAGCACAATGGGGCTTCATTACTAACCGTGACCACATTAAATGTGAGACGCCATTTTCTTATGTGTAAGACCGTGTACGGTCATCGGGGTGCTTTAAATAAGAGGATTTTTGACTTTATATTAACCACGAGTACAACAATAGAATATAAGCGAAATAATGAAATGTTAATTGCTATGAAACGAATGACTGCAATGTAACAGTTAAAAAGCCTGCGTCCAATTATACTCTCGGGGTGTAACTCCCATGATTTATGAAATCGTCTGAGTGAGCAAAATGTACAGCCTTGGCTCAGACCGTATTCAACGAAGAGCGATTCGAATCGTCAACGACCAGTCACTTTCCGTGCGGCTTGATCCCTTAGCATTGCGTAGAGATGTGGGGTCTCTCTGCATCTTCTACCGCATTTACCATGGAGAGTGTTCTGAGGAGTTGTTCGGTCTAATACCTGCAGATATGTTTCATTATCGTACGTCAAGGCATAATAATATGTCCGTCGTTCCACAACTGAGCGTTTTTTGAGGCAGTTTAAGCCGCGCACCACCGCTATGTGGGACCAGCTGCCCACTAAAGTATTTCCGAACGAATTCGACTTCAAGTCCTTCAAGAAAAAAAAGGGTGCGTGTACTTATGTACGCGCGTAAGAAGTTATACTTCTTTGGCATTATTAAAAATAGTTTTTGATTGCATGCAAATAATTAATTACAATTAAATAATCAAAGACTGGAAAAGGAGTCATTATAGTCAATAAAGTTCAGTTTACATTTGAAAAATTAATTAAATAAATATTTATTATTACTCTCTTACATTAAGTGTAACATAAATTATATTATAATTCGAATGTTGTTTTTAAATTATGTCCAATGCCGTAACATCTTCCGTGGGCAACTTCATTCTGTTAATTTTGTATCGTAAAATTTCACTCTCATACATTTTTCATAACGCGCCTAAAGAAGTATAACTTCAAAAGCGTACCAATTCCTGAAAGGCCGGCAACGCGCTTGTGAACCTCCTGGCAATGTGAGTGTCGTGGTGGTATTACTTAACATCAGGTGAACCTCCTGCCCGTTTGCTATTACATAAAAAAAAATTAAATAGATGCGACCTTTAGAATATCTTCACACTTCTTTCCGAACATTACAATATTTCTAACATTTAAGTCAGTTATTAATATAATAATAGTGAGAGGTTTGCAATTATTATTACCATTCGAACAAAAACACCTAAATGCGCTATTCATCGTAATTACTCAAAATGTCGTAAAGACAATTTGCTGCTATTTACACAAAATATACATATTCCGTCTACTGATTACCATTGGTACTTGTTACCGACAATTAAGCCAACAATTACATCGACTTTCGATTCTATTTGACGCTGAACACGAACAATATGTAGAATTCAATAGTTAACTATAAATAGAATGGAAAATTTAAGAACTGAGTGCATACATTTTTTTTCTCGATCTACTCTACTGCTGTATTGTCCAGGAACTTTTTTTATCCTTATATTTTTATTAAAATTTTCATTTAAAATCATACTCAGTCGTGTTACGCGTCTCGCGAGATACGGTACACAGGTACAGATACCGGCAAACATCTTGAACAAATGTCCTTGCCTGCGCAGAAGCGATTTTTAGGCATCACTGGGAGGCGGTGGTGCGCGCCGACGGGAGAGTGACGTGTCGATCGCGTGATTAGTAAATCAGTTGCAACCTTCCCCTCTCTCCCTTGTTTAATACTCAAGAAGTTTGCCGGTATCTATAATATTATTGTTTACAATATTCATGGGCGGGCCGGGCTTCAAATTTGATGAATAAAATTATTAAATATCTTTAATAATTTTGTCGCAGAACAGTTCCAGGCACAGTCTGTGCTTTATTAACATGTCCTCTTACATCAAGTAATTTTTCATTATTGAAAAACTATGGTCAAGTTTATCTAAAGCATCTGATTTTCCTATTACAAATCCCCGAAGCTAGTAAAAACCTCTGTAATTGCAACAATTACGACAAAAACCTAATACTTATTACAAGTCGAGTGCTCAGTAGCTTTACAACGAATTCTACGACAATTACAAACGGACAGCCTATTATTAATGTATACATATTACTCGAAGTATTTCCTGAAAATTACATGGGATGGCTACCAAGGTTGTATTGGCACGCACGCGATCACGCATCTTAACAGAGTAGGAACCTCCACGACTGTTTATGCATTGCCTGATTAGTGAACTGTATTTCCTTATATAGACGAAATACTTTATAATCATTATTAGGTATTCACTATAAGGCAGATTTTATAACATATTATTCGTTATTATTACAATTTTTTAAACATCTATGTGTTCATTTATTGATTATTAAACAGGTCTATGTGTTATAGTAATTTAAATAACTAAAAGTTTTATTATACAACATGAAGTTTAATATTTATTACTATTTATTTATTGGTATTCACTGTAAGGTTATTTTTAGAGTACAATTACGATACGATACGTCTTTATATCCCAGTCGAAATTGACCTACAACAGCGACTGGATATAAAGACACTGCCACAGGGAACTTTTTAAATTAACTTTTATATAGTACAATAATTCAAGTATATGTCAATAATTTTTAGACTTAACTTACGGTTTTTAAAGTCAGGAAAATCAAAATTTTTGTGTCGCGCAGCCCGTACATACCTACTCGTAACCACCAATATTTAAGCCTTGCCTTCTTTAAGCTATCGCGGAAGCTACGGAGTATTAAGAATAAATGCGACTTCGACGAAATAAATAAATAAAATAATACATTAAAAATTCATCTTAATAAATCTCAAAATACAACTTAAACTGTTATAGGTTTAACTTTGCTTAGAAAGTGATTAATAAATCTAAAATTAAGACCGATTTTCTAGATCACGAACACAGCAAATAGTGTATTTATACCCCACAGCAATAGTCTATTTAACAGGACTAATACCATCAAGTATTAAAAATATTGCATTCAAGTACGAAACCGAGGCGGACTAGTTCTTTAATGGCGAACGATTTAAATGCGACCACTGACGCCTCAGCTCAAACGCGTTTACTGATAATTATCACAACAAGAAATAGACGAGAAAACTGCAATTATGCATTAGTTACCCGATGACTTGAAGCAGGAAATAATTTTTTAATAACATATTATTTACTGCACGGATTTATGCCAATATATTATAAATAAAATTATTCAAAGTACAATGTTAACCTAGTGGCTTCAGCGTGCGATTCTCATCCCTGAGGTCGTAGGTTCAATCCCCAGCTTATCCGCTCAAACGGTGAAGCACAGCGTGTAGACCCAAAAGGTCGAGGGCGTGCGTCAGGCATAGGATGCTGATCAACTACTTGCATATTAGATTGACAAAATATGATCATGAAACAGATACAGACATCTGAGGCCCAGACCTAAAAAAGTTGTAACGCCTCTGATTTATTTTTTGTATTTTATGTTACATAAAGTTCTGTAAAATGTATGAATTGTTTGTTCTAAGAGAATGAAAAGAGAATGTTGTGTTAACAATTCAAAATAAACCCTCCAATGTTTCTAAGGAATCAGTCTCAATTTAGAAATTGCAACTTTAAAGCTATATATATATATGGTGTAATAATTAACATATAACAGGTATCACTTAATCCACGTCAGTCAATTTGAATCTGTAGGCATCCCTACTCATCGGCAAAGAAGTCAGAGGGTGTAGGCCGAGAGAAAAAGCCGGTGTAAAAACTCTCGGTACACTTTTAAAACAGCAAATCATTATCAGAAAATCAACACTTTTTTTTAAAACAAATATCGCAAATTAATTAGAAGTAGCCTGTGTATCACTAGTCCCAGGCTCTTTTATCAACTAGATAATCGTTAACTTTATAGTAAGCCTTTTTAACAGCTTTTCTTTAATACATTTCTTAAATTTATTAAAAGACAAAGATAAAAGAGCCTCTGGAACTTTATTAAAGAGTATCCCTTTTCCCATGACACAGTGATAGACAATTTTTGTATTGACAGATTAGTCTAATTCGATCATAATTGTTCCCAGGTGTATGTACGAACGCGACCGCGCCTAGCGTATCTTCAATCAATAGAATACTGAGAAACCGGGCTGCTGAACGAGCCGCGGCGGAGTTTGCGAGGGCTGCTGGCTACGGGTTGTATGCTGCCCCTCCGCCGTACGGCAGCTTCCCGTGGGGCGGAAGCGGCGGGGTGTGGCCGCATGGTGGCTTGCCTCTCCCACCAGGTGTAGCTGCACCGTCGGTAGGCGTACCTCACCCAGATGCTATGAAACAAGGCTTCTTATCATCAACGGGGAGAGGACTTATTGGTAAGTGTTTTTAGTGTATTTTTTTTTTTAAATATTAGTACATTGAATTTTCAGTTAATAAAATCAGTAATTCTGTATATTTAATATATATACTAGCTGTTCCCTGCCACGCTTCGCGGTGGCACATTGTGATTGAATGGTTGAGAAATGAGAAACAAACCAAAAAAAAAAAAAGATAGCAACATTGCTACAACATATAAGCAATACTTGTGAAATGAAAAGAGAAAATATAAAAAAAGTAGATAAAAACAGTCCTTGATGCGGCTTATTTATCATGCTAAGATTTCAGTTCGATCAGTGCAGAACTTTTTGAGTTTTTGAAGCGTACACAAACCAACAACATTTTTATATGTATATATAATAATAAGCAAGACTTTTGCCTAATTACAAAAGTAATTAAAGATAGGATTATTATTATCTATAGATACCTTTTCTATAGATTACAAATTATTTCAATTCGTTTAATTTTTTATAGATGTCGACGGAGACGACTCGGGCTCTTTAGACGGTGAACAACCAAAGTTTAGACGAAATAGAACCACATTTAGTCCAGATCAATTAGAAGAACTTGAAAAGGAGTTTGAGAAGTCGCATTACCCTTGCGTGTCTACGAGGGAGAGGCTCGCTTCTAAGACATCTCTTTCTGAGGCACGTGTACAGGTAATTACTCAATTTTTATTATTATTAGTATATTTGTTGTTGCAGCAATATTTTTATATCTAAAGTTTGTTGGCTTTATTTATTCACCCGATTTTTGAATTCGATTTGAGACTTTCGCGTTTCTATGCGAATTAAGTTAGCAAGTTACCGTATAATTCCATAATACATTATATAATACCGTATAATTAAAATAAAACATAATTTATATACGGCAAAAATGTTTCCATGTTTCTGGTAAAATAGATAAGCAGAGAAAACCCCATCACTTATTAAAATCAAGCCTTAGCTATAATTAGTATCTATCAAAAAGTGAGTACCGAATACTAATCTCGTTTATTTACCGTTACTGACAGGTTTGGTTTTCCAACAGACGAGCCAAGTGGAGGCGCCACCAGCGCATGAACCTCCTCAAGCGCGGTGGCGGCTCACCTTCGCACCGCCTCCCACACTCACCCTCCCGTTCCCGATCGCGTTCTTTGTCCCCGACGCGTGTATACCACGCACCACAAATGGGCGGAGAGAATAGCGCGTTCAAGGCCCTCTCTCACGACGCTAACGCCATGAAGGCTCTATCACACGCTCAGTTCGAGACGAACGCGCTCAAGGCGCTATCCCAGCAGACGTTCGATTTCAAACCGCACCCTGGATTAGAGAGCAGCGCGTTCAAAGCCTTTGTACCCAACTCCGCAGCGGCCTTGCTCGCTGCGCAGTCGATGCAATTGTCCAGATACGAGTCTGATTCAGATGAAGAGATAAATGTGCATGATGAGAGTGAGGACGAAGGTGTAAAGCAAAAAAAGGCTAGGTCGAGATCAACCAGTCCCTGTCGACAGAGGTCTAACGATTTGCCCCTACAATTAACGAAGCATGATCGTTGATTTGTAATTATTAATTAATTGTAAATTTATGTAAATATGTAGATACTGAGCTAATTAATGTACAAGATCAAATTTAGTTTGCACAAATTATTTAATATGCAGTTTGTTATTTTGTTATCGAAAATAAATATGGATTCTAAACGACTTCGAAATGGAAAAGGTTCTTAATATGAGACCTTTACTATAATTGATGTTTCCCTGTTGCTTGGCATACCCTTGCTCCAGTTAGAGAATTATATTTCTATGTTAAAATTCGATTAAAAAATTGTAATCTTTGTTTTCTTTTGAGTTCGTTCCCGTTTACAAATTGTTGAAGTCGAACTGATGAATAAGTAGCCTACGTAATTTTAAGGCGTCTGGGGTGGGTTATAAATTTTGTAATTAAGAAATTGTTTAAAGATCAAAGACACAAAAATTCACGACACTGTTTAGATTATGTATTAAAATTATTGTTGAATACTGTATATTTTTGCTTTAATGGTTCCTAGAGAAGTTGATAACCTCCTTAGAGGGTATGTAAAATAAAAGATGGTGCACTTCCCTTTACTGTCTATTGGCAAAGCATAAAGATTCGCCTGTATTTCATTGGACTAAAGCTAACCAATCACAATAGAGCGACATGCGTCATCTTTTGTTTATATACTTCTCGATCAACGAATAGCCTAGTTCGCTGACTTTTAACTGCCAGTTCATAATAGCCGTTAAAGTCGGCTTCTTTATATAGTTAATTACACATGTAAATTATTTATTAAATAGAAAATTTTAATGTAAATATATAGTGATAGTTAAATGGGTACCTATTAAATATTTTAATAAATATTAATTGAATTTTATATGGCTTTTATTTGGATTTTCTGATTTTATAATGTACGCCTGTTTCCCAGACTACACTTGCTACGTTCCTTACATACCTCTCTTGCTTACTTTACTCCAATAATATTCTCCATATACTCTGGGTGTGGGTGGTATAGACCCAAGCATTTTGTTAATTAGTTTTAGAAGTTTAACCATCAGGTTTACGGTAACTTACTTTACTATCACCATCCACTCATATTTTAACTCAGTTATACTAAAATCAATAAAATCTTCAACCGCTATACCGATAGTTAGGAGTGTGGTAAGATTGATGGTATAGTGGATCATACATATAACTATATATAGATAATATAACATTTAGATGTGTGGCTCCCCTCTATAATCTCAGACTACATACAAGTCTCCAAGTCAAAGTGATGTCTTTAAAACGACCAGAGCAGTGTTGGGAGAGTCGCTTCAGCGTGCGATGTGCACCGGTGGACTTTCTATATGTGCATTTTACAACCACTCGGGAAATTGTGAGAAAACCGGCATGCCTTAGACTCAAAAGAATTGTGGCAAGTATCGGGCACAAAAGGCTGACAACTACTTATCTCTTAGTAAAAGCAAATGATCAAGTTACTAAAAAATATGAACAAAAAGTATGGGGAAGATTTCTGCGTCTATTTAATTGATATTTTATTGATATTGATATTTTTAAGGCATTTAGAGTCGCTAGCAATCGTGCATAAGGTAAAATATATAAATTATAACTAAGCAACAATTAAACACTTAACACTTCTTATCGTTTAATAAATCCACGAGCTTAAGTGATACCATTGTCAAGCTTTAATGCCATATTAAATTGAGCTTCCTGAGCTCTAGAGGGCTTAATTTTGTAACATCAATTATAAGTGATATATTTTAGAGGAAGCGGTAGTAAAATTACAAAAAGTATTAAATGACTATGGTTTGTGGACCACGACTAAACATCAAATTACCATCAAGTGTATATTGATGACGCAATCGCCGTTCAATTCAGCTATGTAGGTATGACTCTGGATACCAAACTCCGAAGGTGGTTTTTGGTAAAAAGATGCGAGAATAATTAAATCTTCAAAGGCATTCACCGTTAACTGTACAAAATAAATTATTAATCTACAAACAAGACCTGATCCTTGTATGGACTTATGGTTGTGTTATTTGACACTGTTCCTGGGTCATAGCTTTAACTAATAGAAGATTTTTGTTTTACTATGAGGGAAATAATGAAATGTTAATTGTAATTGTAACAAATGAATGCAAAGCAACAGTCGAAGAGAGTGCCTGCGTCTGGCTATGCTCTCGGGGCGTAACTCCGACAATTTAGGAAATCGTCACGCTTATAAAACTAATAAAGCCTGAGTAAGCAAAATGTATAATAGCCTTGGCGCGTATAGACACATTCTTATGTTGTATATTCTCATTAGTAAATTGTGCCTTAAGTTAGGCTCGTAATGTTCCATGATAATTAAAGCTGATTGTAGAAGCAGAGCTGAAAACTACAGGCCTATCGCGATTCTGTGTACGCTGGCGAAGGTGTTTGAAATGTCCTTACACTCGCTAATGTTGCCTAAATGCATTCCCCACATCACTCCTTGCCAGCACGCTTTTCTTCCACGCAGATCAGTTAATTCTAATCTATTGACTTTGGCTGACATAGTATCGCGTGAAATTGATAGGCGGTGTCAGGTGGATGTAGTATATTTGGATTTTCACAAAGCGTTTGATCGAGTAGACAACGACATTCTTCTCCAAAAGTTGGCCGCAATTTGGTGTGGACCTATTCTGCTTAAGGTTTTCTCTAGTTACCTAACAAATCGTAACCAATATGTTAAATATGGACAATATATCTCGCAGCCTTATCCAACAATTTCTGGTATTAGCCAGGGTTCAAACCTGGGACCGTTGCTATTTTTAATAATGATTAATGACCTTCCAAGCGTTATCAAATATTCCAAAATACTATTATTTGCTGACGACGTTAAGGTCTTTAAAATAGTTGAGACTGACAATGATCGTCTGTGTATGCAACTTGATTTGGATGAATTAAATAAACTCCAATTCAACTATGACAAATGTGAAGTGATGACCTTTAGTGCCTCTCCGAATAAAATACTCTGCGACTATAGCATAGGATCGAAAGTTATTAGGCGCGTAGACAGAGTCCGCGACTTGGGTGTCCTGTTTGTACCCGATCTTTCATTTGCGGAGCATATTCGGACGATTACGGATGCTGCTTTTAGGAGATTAGGGTTTGTCCTGCGAAATTCGGCTGGTCTGACGGACACTGCCACTAGGGTGCTATATTCATCATTAGTAAGGCCAATTCTCGAAACCAGCTGCGTCATATGGTCCCTTTATGAAAGGTATTATGGGGATATGATTGAACGAGTTCAAAGCAAAGAGCTCTTTTTTAGGCAGATTCAATGTTATAAATGATGAACAGTACGGTTTTCAAAGAGGTAAAAATACTATCCTAGCAGCTTTCTCTTTAGTTAAGGCAATTGTAGAACATATCGATAGGCGCAAGCAGGTATCTGTAGTTTTTTTGACATGAGCCAAGCTTTTGATTGCGTAGACTACAACATTCTTCTTCAAAAGTGTAGACTTTACGGAATCCGAGGATTGCCTTTAAATTGGCTGGAAAGTTACCTAACCGGTCGTAAACAATATGTTGAAATCACACATACTTCATCTCCTAAACATATTGAAAGGGGGTACAAGTCTTTGGCTATAGATTGCAATAAAGGCGTTCCTCAAGGGAGCATACTGGGCCCATTGCTGTTTCTTCTGTACATTAATGATTTACCAAATTTGGTTACTAATAAATGCATTCTTTACGCGGATGATATCTCAGTGGTAGTGTCGAATGATACTACGCGTAACCACGAATCACTATTGAATGAAACAATAAAGAATGTCACGGAATGGTTGGAAATTAATAATTTAAGTGTAAATGTAAAAAAAAACAATTTTATACAATTTCGGAACTATAATAATTGCAGACCTAATAACCTCAAAATCAATTATAAAAACAAGTCAATTGAAGAAGTTGTATCAACCAAGTTTCTAGGCATAACACTAGACCAAAATCTTAATTGGAAACAACATATTTTAACGATATGCACGCTCCTTAATAAATTTGTCTTTGCTTTGAGTCGAACTCGCAAAGTAGCTTCAAAACACGCAGCAATTATTGCTTACCACGGCTATGTTGCCTCAGTTTTGCGCTATGGTATCCTTTTATGGGGAAATTCGGTAGATGTGAGTAAAGTTTTTATTACTCAGAAAAAATGTATTAGGGCTATCATGGGCGTTGGACCTCTTATGAGCTGTAGACCAATTTTCCACGAACTCGGTATTCTGACAGTACCAAGTTTGTATATCTTGGAAGCAGTTATGACTGTCAAGAAGTATCCAAAACTATTTAATACATACAATGAAACTTGCTTATATATACCGAGGGATCCAACACGGCTGCGGGTGCCTGCATGTTGCACCGCGCTATATTCTAAAAATTGTAACGCCATGGCTATAAGAATATTTAATCACCTTCCTAGAAGCTATAGATCGCTGTCATGTAATGTTTTCAAGGGGAAGGTGATTGGGTTTCTAAAGTTATGGTGCTTTTATAGCGTAGGCGAATATTTGGCCTATAAGTTTGACAACAATTGATTATAAATAGCTTGACGTATTATCATGACATTATGTTAATGTTTTTATTATATGACATAGCAAAAATTTATGACTTTTGCATGCCTATTTATATATGGCTGATTGTCCGGATATAAAAAACAAATAATGTGATTATAAAATCACATAAGGTTTGATTGTAATATAGTAAAATTCTAATTGTTAATTATGTAAGATAAATTATGTAAGATAAATTTGCACGCCATTATATGTGGCAGAATATGCGGAGTTAAAAAAAAAAAAAGAAGTTCCTGAGAAATCTGTATAAAAGAAGATACAATTTATTTCCTTACCTCTACCCTACTAAGTTCTTGATGGGGGTGTTAGGGTATAATTCATTAGAGCTTCGTAGGGATTTTTCGGTGGTCAGGTTTGGTTTGAGTGTAATTAAGAATGAAACGGAAAGCGCATACTTGCTGGGAGAGATCATGAGGCTATACGTCCCGGACAAATATTGCCGCTGCCGGAAA